TAGCTGGGCAAAAGGGAAGAAGCTATGAACAGCGATTGAGAGACCTAAATTTATTTTCGAAGGAACGTAGACGACTGGGAGGAGACCCGAGAGAAACCTTTAAAATAGTCAGAGGGCTATCAGGACTCCATGCATATGACTTGTTTACGGCTTCTCGNTCGTGCCCAAAACACGAGGGGTCATAGCTTTAAGCTCCAACAGAACCGTGCTAGGTTACAGGTCTGGGCCAACTTCTTCGCACATAGGATCATACCAATGTTGAACAGGTTACCCGGGGGAGTGGTCAACTGCAGCAATGTGCACAACTTCAAGGCGGCACTGGATGCGTGTTGGCCGGAAGTGTTCCCTTAAGTTAGATAGTAATATATCATCACTAATAGCCAGGTAAATTGCAGCTCCACACTATGGAATCGAGCCTTTTAATTGCACTTGAAATAGGTGTTTCAGAAAACTAAGGTGTCACACAGATGAGGCGAGAAGACATCTCTTCTGTTTTCCCTCAGAAAACGCAGTGTTGGGATTCAAGAACACCCGCCGACAACAAAATAATCTGGACGTTCCGTTGGCAACGGCCATTATTCGTCCTGTGAAGACTGGACTGAACTGACCTGAATCGATGTTACAAATTGTGTATGAAACACGGTGTAGATACTTTGATCAGGCGAAAGTGGGAACTGAACTACCCACCTTGGACAATAACACGACGCTTATTCGTAAGCGGCTGTGAGTTGGACCAACAGCCCAGTGTCTCACAGTGACGAAACTGTTTTTCGCAAGTGGGTTGCCCTGTATATTTCCCTGGGTTAGTTCACCTAACTTGAGGCCCACTGGCTCACACTCTAGCTCTTATCTTGAGATAGGATTGACCCTTTTTCACCATACTCCAATCCTTCCATAATAAAAAATAGTCATGGATAAAGGTGCTTTACGTAAACATCCTACGGAACGAGCAGATACTCGCAGACCGCTGTGGCAACCCCCAATTTTCAAGCGGACAGGTAGCCGATGGAATCCAACTTGAAACTTGCTAAGCATGGTTTCACCCGGATTGCGGAAATGTTCCACAGGAACTATACAATAAGTACTTTGAGGATGAAAGGTTATTCTGAGTCTGCCTTTCATGCAGGGAGGTTATACGTAGGATCAGATCCACAGAGAGGGATGTATCGGTAGAACCAGCGGAGATAAATGACCGACAGGAACAATCCCTAAGGGGTTCACATGAAGTGTTACCTCTTTACTGCGAGGGTGACCTCCCCCCCAGGTGCCAACGAAAAGGAGGAAACTAATAAAACTCAAGGTACAAAAGAGCCCGTAAAACTAAAAGCGAGTCCAAAGAAGCGACTCGAGTGGGCGAATAGGCCAATAACGGCAGTGGAGCTAACAGGGACCAAAAACAAGAAGAATAACAAGAAACCCAGAGGTGGTGAAGACAAAATAGCAAACCAACAGCAGCAAGCTGTCGGGTAAGATAAGGTATTAGAAACCATGAAGGATAAGGTGTCAGCTTTGGGAAGAGGATTCCAAAATATAGCCAAAACCCTGTCCGAGCTCCAACGAACAAAAGATTTGACCTCGGGAAGACACAAGAATATTGTTGTTAGAGGCATTCCTGAACCCTTCATAAAAGGGGGACGATTAAGGGACCGAGTCATGAGATAGTATGTAGTAAACCTACTCAGATGTGCCGAATTGCCAGGCCATGCAGCTAACAAAAGGGTATTGTGCCTAGGAAAATGACAGGCTGGTAGCAGCAGGGAAAGTGAACCCAGACCCGTCTTGGTAGAGTTCACCAACCCTAGACACGGACCGTTTTCTTGCTGTGGCTGACAAAATTAGGACCGCCACAAAACGCGGTCTAACGGTGCAACCTGAAGAGAACGTGAGATGCAGGGAGAAATCGGCTACAGGCCCACCAGTATCACCGGGCTATAACCCAGGGACACTGAGGCATCCAATACTGATGGTGAATAAGATACAAGGGTCTCCTGAGAGGCGTTTTTCAGGAGATATCCCTGTTATATAAGTGTGCTCAGGTAACAGTCCGATACTCACTATCCTGTGGAACATTCCTGGCTGATTTAAAAGCCTCAGGAAAACCCTGAAGTATCGAATAGAAAGAGAGTCCCACATCAAAGTGGACCAAAAGGGCAAAGCCCTCCAACAAAAAGCGGTCGGGGTGCTCGGACCCAAAATCCGACTGACACCACAACTCCTCTGATAGGGCGCATATCCAGGTGGGTTTGAAGCTACTCGTCACCCATACTAATGCGGCGAGCATAAAGAACAAGTGGCCTGAGCTTAGCGTGCATTCTCAGGGAGCAGATGTGATTACACTCACTGAAACGTGGCTGCAACCCGAATTGAGCATAACAGCCCAGTTTCCCACGGGCTACATTGAAGCAGAGATGATAGGCAGGATGACAGAGATGGTAGTGGTTCCCTCCTGTTAGTGGAGCAGCACTACGAGCAATATGATGGTCCACGCACAATCACACCTAAACTCTAGGTAGTAACGACCATAGCGAAATTGTCCCACAGGTAAATAGCCATCTTGTGCTATTACCGCAGCCCTACATCCTCACGCAGTGAAGATGAGACTCTGGTGGCTGTCCTCCGGGAGTTAGCAGAATCCCATCGGAGCATACTACTGCCGGGGGACTTTAATGTCCCCGAGGCTAACTGGGAAAACGGTACTGCTCCAAGAGGCAGCTTCGGCGAACTTACGGTCGGTATGGCACGAGAAAAAATTCTGCTCCAGCATGTTAACCAACAAACGCGCTGAAGAGAAGGGCAAACCCCATCCACCTTCGACCTTGTTATAACCAGGTTCATGTCAGAAATTGAGAGTCTAGGGATCCAGGAACCGATTGGTAAGAGCGATCATAGATTCCTCAAGTTTCGCATGAGTCTATGGGGCAACCCCTACCCGACAAATATCGTCGCCAATGGCATCAAATAAACCCTCGGGACATCCAAGACAAGGCTAAAAGGCTGGATTAGACATTATAAGGGGAGTTCTACCCGGTAGCCGATCAATGGGATCTGGTAAAAAGTAACCTTCTGAGACTTACAGATCAGGTGGCACCCCTCCGAAGGGTTAGGAGGCATGGAACGCCCCTCGTGATGTTGTGTTTGTTTATAGCGAGCGCTCAGACGCAAATGGACAGCTTGGAGACGCTACCTGCAGAAACAGAGGACAGAGATCTATTTCGCACTACAGGACGAAACGTCAACGAGCAACTGGCCTCGAAAATGAGTGTAGAAAAGCATACGAGGCGAAACTGGCACCGAATGCACGGAGGAACCCGAAGTCATACTTTAACTACGTGCAATCCGAAGCCCGGCTCCGAAGAGAAATAAGATACGTTAAAAAATTACAGGGGGAAAGAGAAACGTCAGCCGTGGGAAAAGCAGTAGCATTATTCTTCTTCTTTTTAGCAGGTATACCGGGAGGATCCAGGAGCACCGGGGCAGTCAGGGGCGAGAGAGCAGCCAAGCACGCTCATGAGTGATAACCCCATTAGTGTCGACGAGGCCCATCGTACTCTCGAAGGACTTGTGGCTACGAAGGCTGCAGTCCCTGACGGGATTCATTCAGCTGTACTGAAACCGCTGTCGGGACGGCCAGCAGTGCCCCTCCTTAGAGACGGGTAGGCTGCCAGAGGATTGGCTACTGGCAACCGTTGTCTCAATCAACAAGGAGGGAGTTAGGGTATTCTGCTGGAATTACCGACCAGTGAGCCTGACCTCAGTAGTACTAAAAGCAATGGTCGTTAATGGTCTACTCGCCGACGATCAACACGGTTTGGTCAGGAAGTGGTCATGCCTATTCAACCTGCTTTGCTTCTTAGACGGAGTGACAAGGTGCATTGATCGAGGGGAACGGGTAGAGGTTTCCTACTTTGACTTCGCCAAGGTCTTCGACTCAGTGAACCACCAACTGCTTCTAATTAAACTGAGCGGGTGTAGACTCACCCCTAGGGTATCACGAGATTTGTGACAGGCTGACGTTTTGAGGTTAGTATAGCAGAATAGAGGTCACAAACAGGAAGGGTTTGTAGTGTGGACCCGCAGGGGTTTGTCGTAGGCCCACTCTTCTTTCTGCTATAGATAAACGATCTTAGCCGGGACCTCTAAAACCCCTGATTTAAGTTCGCTGACGATATGTACACCGTCGGGTCCGCGCGATGGGAATCAATGCGGAGAAACTTAGACAAGATCCAGAAATGGTTGAAGGTATTGGACCTTCCTCTAAATTCCCGTAAGTGTCAGCAGCTCACTGCAGAACGAGGGCACCATGGCAGGAACCTGCCGGCATATAGGACAGTTTTCCGTCCCATTACAGTCCCTTTAGAGTCCCTAAGGGACGATTGCTTGATTCATCGTCTCTTTAGAGTCCTTTTAGGGTCCCCATGGGACTGTTTCAAAAAACTGTATATCCAATCATATTCCAGAAATAAGCCTGTGTTTTCTTTTCCATAATTGCTAGATGGATGTATGTAATAAAATCCATTTAACATAATTAGTATACCAAGAGTCATTGGAAACATGACATAGCACAAATGAAAAAAGTGTACATTTTGTTTCAATGCTTCAACTGCATTTAATTCGGTTAGCGCGGCATTGTGCATATTCGCTTAATGGAACATGTTTCTCTACAAACCCAGTGGTTCCTCACGCTGGGGTATCAGAAGACGTATTCTCGCCCAATTCGCAGCCAAACGCAAAGCCCAACTGGAAGATATTTTCGTGATAAATTTGGTTGTAAGTCTAGTGAAGAAGTTGTAATTAATAATATCATAATTTGCAGCGATTCATGATGCCTTGCACGTACATGCAGATGCATCCACTACCGTCAATCGCGAAGGTGAAACTGATGATAATGAAGATTCAGGGAAAGAATTTGTTGTCAATCAATTAGAAGAAGTTTTGGTATTTTATTGTTTTATATATTGTGGCCGTTTCGATATTTTTAAGATGAGTTGGATGGTGTTTCAGTGATTCCAAATACAGCCCATAATCCTGCAGAGATACCACCAAGAGTCGCTATTAAAGCAAAGCTGAATGTCAATATCAAAAACATTATGCTACGAGAACGGGGTCCTTAAAATAGTGAATTGCCGAAAGACAGTCGAACACTAATGAAAACACCAAGGATGATTGGCATCATCAAGTTGGAGGATGACGATTAAATACATTCAGCTAATCATTTTGCCTGAAGAATAACATGGCAACGTTCGATTCCACCAATCTGAGGCAAGTCAACATCGATGGCATGTCATTCTTCCGTAGCTCCCGAATGCAATTTTGGACGACTCTCAGCCGACGTATTGGTCCCAACGCTCCAGTGTTTCTCGTTGGCCTATTTCATGGTTACCATAAGCCGAGAAATTCTCACTTTTTCCTCAAAGAGTTCATAGCGGACATGAAGACGTTGCTAGAATGGGGTCATTTTACTGAAGATGGTAGACGTATTTCCGTTGTTCTCCATTACATTGTATGCGATGCCCCTGCCCGCGTCTTTGTATAACAGGTTAAACAACATTCTGGCTACTTCAGCTGTGATCAGCGTAAAGTATCCGGTGTACATTAATGTGGACGAATGACGTTATACATCTATCCAAACCCCTGTGAACGAACTTTTCTCTTCGTACGCGAAAGAAACAAGAACACAATGTAGGTAATTCTCCATTTGAGATGCTATCCGTTTACTAGTGACAATTATCCTTTGATTACGTGCACTGTGTATGTCTGTGGTTTGTGAAACGTTTATTTGGTTTGTGGTGAACTAGTCCCCGTTCTCATTTTGTGCGCTAACCGTCACCTGCATTCTACAGAATAAATATAGTTTTTGAAAGACTTAGTCATCAATTACCTGTTGACTTTTCACGTAAATGCCACAAATTTTCTGACTTTGAACGTTGGAAGGTGACAGAATTCCGGCAGTTTCTGTTATATTTGGGCTCTATTTTACTTAGGCATGAGCTTTTAGATGTATAGTTTTTTAATTTTGGTAATTTGACCACTTTTTTATGTTTTACCTTCCTAAGTATTGTTAGATTACTATAAAACTTATCTGCCAAATTTGATGAAACTCTCAAAGAATTTCGTGATATCTATAGTGCTAATGACTGTATCTATGATGTTCATAGTTTATCGCATTTAACTGATGATACTTAGCGAATGGGCTCTATGAAAAACTTCTTTGCGTTTCCGTTCGAATCCTACTTGAGCCGTCTAAGGAATCTGGTTTGATCACCAACTATTACAGCATCCCGAATTTCTTGTCGCCTTCGTGAATCAACAATGTGACTGACGGATACCGAATGATGTCAGGATGATGCTGGTGTATCATCTAATCGTGTTCTTTCCTCTCAACATTTTTATAAAGGAAACCGTGTGCAGTTGAGTAACAGTTCCCCGGATAACTGTAACAAACCAGAGCCGATTACACAAATCCCCGATTTTCATATTTCTTTTGCACCATTTGAACATTGTACAGATTTCTACGGTGGCATTTTACTTTCGTTACACTTGTCTATATTTCTTTGCCCTAAATCCGTTATTGCATTTGTTAGGATTTTGCATTCCCGCATCTCGGCACAATGCTGCCATTTTATACCTACCAATCACTCCGTGGTTATTCCCATTGTACATACTTTAGATGGAGTTACAAAGTAAACTGACCTTTTTAACTTCCTTTTTTTAATATATGTATACAGCGAAGGCACGAACAACTACTGTCGTTCAAAATTGTGAAATTTGTAAACGACAATTCCGTTGCGATGGTGCATAAATCGTGGTATCAAGATGATGGCACTGTCCATTGGCTTGGGTTGGCAACCAAGCAACACAACTTCCTGTAGCTTCAAGGAGTTGGACCGCAGAACTCAAGGAAGCAATATCCTTTGAAGTTGCTCTGATCTACTGGTAGGTTTTGTTAACATTAATCTGATGTTGTAGATGCCTTCAAAAAGGCTCTATTGTATGAAGGCCACTATCAAACAGAGACGGACGTTCCGTCACTGGTGCAATTGGGGTTATGAGAAACTTCGATAAATGAAAAATATAGGATTATTATTATAATTTTATATAAATTGATTTAGATTTTGTGTGCATAGCTCGGATTATTTATACAAGGCAAGTACGGTCAATGACAGTTAACTCGCATCAGAGCCGATGCCTAAGAGGATATCCCCTTTGCCTGACTGTAGTGTGGTTGAACCGGAGCCGTCTAGATCCGGTGCAGGTCGACTGTTTACCTCTTAATGCCAGACTATATCAGGCATTTCGTAAGTTATCTCATCAAATAAATCTATAACTAATGACACAGGGTATTGATCAGTCCCGATCTATCTCGAGAAATTCCATGTCAATCGATGCCAGTACTCCCACCGGTGATGACGCAGCAAAGATCGAGGTAAGTGTGATCACTGTTATGTAACATTATTGACTATCCATAACCATTAGGTTTCAACCTTCAACGGTTAACGTCATGTCAAGTGCATTTGCACAACTATGCGGTAGGTCTCAGGTCTCTTTCGTAATTCTTTATTACAGAAAACGTTGAGAAAGTAATACTCGATTTGGCAGCTATGAAAGAGGAGCAGAAACTCCTCCAGGCCCAGATTATTTCACTAAATGTATTGAGAGCTGGAATTAATCCGCAGTCTTTTAAGCTTCCGGCTAACAACATGGAAGAATTTCGGTTACTCGAAGTTAGACTGCCAGATCTGAAAGACTACAATCAAATCGTATGCCGCATTTCAAAAATTCTATATTTACTTTTTAGAAGAAGCAAAAAGTGAATGTTGGCGGTTCTTGTGCTGCGGAGTTCATTTGATACGCAATGAAGGCAATACTACATTCTTCAATATCAAAGATGATAAATTGGGAGAGAAAGTATAAAAAGGTGTATCTGGGCACACAAGCGTTGCGAGTGCAGTTGTTGGTAAGCGTTTTACTTAGAGTAAACTGTATTTTTTCATTTTTCCAGAAAGTGCAATGGCGAAGAAGTTTTCAGGTGAAACGAACTGAAAAAAGCATGAAAGAATTTAACGGTGGATCCAGAAATCACTTATACGTGACACGCTAACCAGGTAGAGGTGCTCACATGCTCGTCTCAATCGTGTTTCGATACACTGATACAGCCTCAAAACTATATCAGTGGAATATAAAGCCTTATTGGTGAAAACTTCATCGAGTAAAGTCACCCAGTTCCCAAATTATGGTAACCCCACGCCTGACAATTCATAATGTGTTAACTTCCTTTCATAAACGTGATCGAACGTTGGCAGCTCTGAGATCGTAATAGGCCCCTGCATTCCTACTCAATCGTTTCGCGTTGCGCTTTCGTTCTTTATATTTGAGTATATTTATACGTGTATGTATACACACTTCTTAGCAGTATTCCTCTTCTCATATTGTTTCGTGACGTGCTCCGTTTCTGCTCACCCCTTCTCAGCTGGATATTACCCCCAGACTGTTGAGAATCATCCTTGTTCCAGAGTTGGTTGGCTTGGGGTCTACTCCCACAATGGACGCTTTGGCTCCGGCAATGTTTGTTGGGCGCCGTTGTCTCCATTGTTTTGACTACATGTGTTCGCATTCCGGACCAGGTTGAGGATTAGACCCCTGCCTTACCTACAAGGTGTTTTAAAGTTGGGTGTCTGGCGTGTAGTCAGTTCCACATCCAAGCGACCAACGTCTAAATAATCTAAATCATTCCATGATCGATCAAAGCCCCGAACTCAATGAATGTGTCCTCAAAAGCAAACTGTGTCCCAGTAAACAAAAAAACATGTACTTTGATAAATTTATGAACTCGCTGTGCTCCTTCTCCCATACATTTCTATCCACGTGTCCCTATCTCCTCCCGTTCTCTGTTTCACAGACCGTTTCTTCGTATTTCCTCCCATTAATGCCGCACGTCGAATCCTAACAATACAAAGTTCGCTCTTTCTTCAGTTTCAATTGACATACTTATTCAGTGCATTCCTTTATTCTCCACATCTACGTTTGTAACCTTGTCCGCTTTGTGTTTCGATTGCATTGCGTTTTCTTCCTGCTCTCCCATTATCTCCATTGTGTTTATCTTCAGGAGGGATGTACCACATTTAGAAAAAGTGCAACGCTTAGCTACCCGAATGATGACTGGTCAAAAGCGGAAGAGCTATGAGCAGCGGCTGATAAATCTTTTCGCTGGAACAACGACCAGTGAGGGGAGATCTGATAGGGACTTTAACATTGTAAGAGGTCTATAGGAACTCAACCTAGATAACTTGTTTACGAATTCTCGTGCTCAAAAAAAGAGAGGGCATGGCTATAAACTTCAACAAAACCACGCCAGGTTGTAGTACGGGCCAACTTCTTTGCACACAGAATCATACCTATGTGGAACAGGTAACTCGCAGAAATGGTCAACTGCGCCAACGTTAACGCCTTCAATGTGGCCCTGGACGCATTTAGGTCCGTAGCATTCCCCAAATTTAGTAGTTTGAGTGATAACATCAAGAATAAATTCCACATTAGCCGAAAGTTTATGAAATTGAGTAAACTCGGGCTTCATTGTTGGAATTGTTCTGAAACTGACTGACCTGTCACATGTGATCTGTGTATAAGAACGCATGTGTAATTGAGTTCTCTAACCAATGAGGCAAGGAGATATCTTTGTTTGGTTTGCTCCCCTTCAGCATAACCCCTAGGAGACAACGTTCTGGAAATGGGGCTAACTTCAGAGGACTACAAATAAGAAACCACCTGTACACAGTGTTGGGAGCTACTCCCACCAGACAAGAACACACGGAACTGGACGCTCGATTGGCAGAGCCACATTCGTCTTGTGCAAACTGAACTGAATTGCAATTTCTACTGTGCTGTATCTCGTTTATACTTCTTGTCTGGTATTAGGGAAATATCAGTAAATATTTCGCTCCAACAATTCTTGTAGGAGTTTTCCATTTACCAGTATCATTCGTGATCCGTCAAAGATCACAAACCTTTTACTAGGCAATTGTCCTCTTATAACTTGGTATTGTGCAGGCCTAAAGCAGTTATTTTTCAGTTTGGTAAAGCATCATTTTACATCTTTGTATAACCTTGTGTCTATTTTTACAGAGTTAGGCAACTGTTTATTTAGACATTCTTGTTTAACTTGGGATGACACAAACAAAAGGTTCCAACACGTATGGGGCGAATTGTTGCGAAGAGTATGTCACCCAGGGGATTCAATGCGACGGCTGTGGAGTGTGGTACCACCAGTGATGCTCTCAGATATGCCAAAGTGCGTATCAATTCCACATGGAGCTCACGTCCTTTAAGTTGGTGTGTAACCACTGCGCAACACTAGCCAAGGAGTTCAGGAGAATTACGAAGGCACCAGTGGCTCCCAAGAATAAGGAAAACAAAGGGAAACCGGAATGGGTTACTTCTGCGTTATATCCAAATAAGAGTACACCAATAAGAGATGTAGGAAACCGAAACAGGTAGGTTGAAGCACAGACCATGAGGCCTTTGAAGGCTAAGAAGACTGTGGTTAAACCTGAGATTTAGCTTAACTACCGGGAAATAGTACAACGAATTGAACAATTGGAGAGATAACTTAAGTTGCTGAGAAAAAGCAGCGAAGTTTCGTTGGGAACGAATAGGAACTTAATCCTGCATAATTGCACGCAGCTAGTTATAAACATGGCGAAGTCGAGGCAAGAAGTTAAACATCGCCATGTGCAAAATAGTTTTAGGCAAATAGGGTTGCCCCCGGACACCCCAAACCCAAAGTGTCATTGCATTGGCCTTAGGAAAGGGGAAAGCTC